ACGATTGTTAACAACCGGTTCGTGGAGGTCATTAAATTCTAAGAACAGGTTCGCACGAACCGGTGCGAACCGGCTGAATCCCACCACTGCAATAGTGTACTAATATTTTTATGAATCAGTCAATGGTATTAATAGTACGCTATTTTTATAAATCTGACGTAGGTATTAGAAGTGTATTATCATTGTTATGAATAAATCAGTGGTATCAAAAGTGTGCTTTTATGAATCAGATGGTATTAAAAGTGTGCTATTATTTTTATGAATCAATCATTAATTTCAAAAAATGTACTATAATTTTTATGAATCAGACAATAGTATTAGAAATGTCATTGTTATGAATCAATCAGTGCTATCAGATACAACAATTATTGTAAAATTTTCATTGTATTCTAATACTGTATCAAGAAATATTTGGTTCATTGCACTTCATAGCTTCTTAAACTCAAGTAAAATTCTCTAGCTGCGTAGAAGTAAAATATTGTAACTCTCAGTTTTGTATTAAGGTGTCAGAGCTTGAACATGTTTTGTTATTAAGCATTTGTGATGTATTGTGTTTTATATATAGAATTCTTGTTACCCCTAGTATTTACTCTAGAAAAGATATTTAAGTAAATGCTTGCTTTTTAAAGTTATTTGTTAGTCTTATTAGAGAAGTAATTGATAGCAGAAATGGTTAAATAAACCTGACACTTTTAATTTAAGAGGAACATAGAAAAGCCTATGTGTGTGTTTGTGTACATACTACAAATAAGTGATTGAATCATGTGTTAAATATTTAAGTATTAAGCAAAACCTTTAGTTTGATAGAAAGTGTATTCTGCTAATTGTTGTCGAGATGTTTATTGGAAGAGATTTGTTTATATTGTTTACTACTAAGAATTTCAATCAAAATGTGTTGACATTTAAGTTTAATTAGTTGTAACATTGTCATGGCCATTTGAGTGTTTTAATTATGGTAGCTATTTGTTATCTTAACACTGGGTATGTAACTAACACTGGATCAAGCAGTATATTACAATTCATTAAAAATTGTTTTGTTTTGAACTATTGAAATATTTAATTTCGCACCAAATGATACATTTGAATTTTTTAAACAGATTATTCTTTATCATTCCAGAATATTACTGCTAAAAATGTTTAATAATTGATTTTTCCAAATTATTAGAGCCAAGTTAGGAATGCCACAGTTCCTCAGTCCTGAAGCCCAAAGTCTTCTTCGAGCTGTCTTCAAAAGAAATCCAGCCAATAGATTAGGTACAGTGTAGCTTCAAAATTATAATTTGAGATATTACTAACATAGATACTAAAGTAGTTTTCAGGTTGAACAAGTAATACTTTTCTCTGGTTATTAATAATGTTGATTTCCTACCTTTAAACTTATTATTATTGTTTTCTGTCAAGGGAAATAATTAATTTTGTCCAAACACTTTCAGTTTTATTCCTATTTATTTTGTGGTTACTTGAGTGTAATTAAGTATGGTAAGTTAAATGACACTTGTGTAAGTTTGGTTAATTGGCTTTGATATGTGAGTTTTTTTGTTGAGATAAAAGTATTGTGTTGACTCTTGATACCATCATGGTATCTTGTTGTAAGTGCTTTGTTCTTCAGTCATGACTTCATCTTCTGATACTTTCTGTTGAGCTCTATCATGAACCACAATAGTGGTTCATAATATAACATTTGGGCAAAAATCACTTAAAAAAGCAGACTTATTCTTGAAACATCACTCAAAACCTTCCCTTTCAATAGTTAAGACCACCCAAACATTGATGATAAGCAAAATAAGTGATTTCACGATTGTTAGACAAAATCAAAATTTGCCTTTCTTCATCTTATTATCATTCATGTTATTGTTTGACAAGCCTACAGCAAAATCGGCTGGATGTTTTGCACAACCGAGACAGATATACTATATGAAATGCTGCAAATGTCCATGAGCTATTTAAAAGTAGATTATTTTTCATGGAAATTTGATTTATATGGTTATAAATACATAATAGATTGGATGTTGTTATGAAATGCTGCCTTTGTACTCAAAGCCTGTTAAACGTGTTTTTACACATAACCTCAGGCACAAAACTTCCTGGCCCAATAAGTAATGGTTTGGTGGAAAAAAAGCCAATGCAGCAGTAAACTGCTGAAAAACATGTAACATTCAACTGAATGTATATGCACGTATGTAGCTTAACATTTATTCCCCCATATATGGAAATAAAAAAAACTTGAGAAACCACATTAATAAAAATTGTTAATTTAAAAAGCGAGAATAGGGATCATCAAAAAGTACAGAAACAAGTTGAATCAAAATGCAAAGATTATATTTTCAAGCCTATAATTAGGGACTAAAAAAAAAGGAAACAAGTTAAGATTCTTCATGTCTTACTGTCTACTCTTGATACCATAATGTGGTTTTGTTGAGAAACTTTGTGTTTAGTTTACCTTTTACATCATATTAGTTTCTAGTTGGATTGTTTGATGTTATTCTGTACTATTGCTAATTTCACAGGCCTGTGATGGTTTTATTGTCTTGAAAAATTGTTACTTGTTCTACAGTAAGTCCTGTATGCTGAATCCAAAAACAATATCCATTTTTCTCCATCATGTACAGATTTTTCACAAAATGCTATATGCACTTTTACACAACACATAGTTTTGAGACTAAAAGATAAAGATTTCACAAAAAATCAGGATGAACGAGGATGCATATTTGTTTGGCATCAATGTTCTTCTCTTTTATTTAGTTTGTTTGTGTTTTTGCTAACAAACATAATAATAAAAAATGATCATTGTGGTAAACGAAATAATAACTTCATCTAAGTAAGAGTTTTTGTTCCTACCAATTTATAAAAAATTCTTATGTGATAGAAAACAGTGAATATTATTTTTGAAATCTGTGTAGCTGAATTACAGAAAATCCATTATTAAAACCAAAACAACTTTTATGAAGTTTAAATTTACAGACCTGTGTTTTTACTTCTTGTTGCATACTTTGTATATTTAGATCTTTATATCATATTAGCTTTATATCGGAATGCTTGATGTTATTCTGTACTTTTGGTAATTTTTACTTCTTTCTGTGTACTTCTTGTATGCTGTATCCTTGACAAATACATGTATGTCTTCTTGTTGAGGCATTTCATTTTATACACTAGTGATAATTATGGCTTCTCATTGGAACAGTTCATGTTCAGCTATACACTTGATAATAATGTTTTCTAGTTGAGGTACTTTGTGTTATGCTCTGCTCTTGATAATCAGTTATCTTTTGGGGATACTTTGGATAATTCTCTACTCTTTATATTTATGGATTTATGTATACTTATGTTAAGTTCTGTTTTTAATACCATAGTAATGACTTGTAATAAAGTGAGTCTGCTAAATATGCAGACTTAAATCTTGGTCATGAGAGAGTGAACTTTGAAATAGATTAGTCCTTTCCATACTTGAGGTTAAGTCATCTGTAAACCTACATAGGACCCAACCTGTTTGTAGTCTTTAAGAAGTTATTGGATTTAAACAGTTACAGTACATCATTAAAAGTTTATCATTCTATATTCTAATTTAAAATTGCAGCATTGTTTTAAATTCCTTACTTTTTTCCTATGAGGGTTTGTAGCTTAATTTCTGTTGTGAATAAAAGAAAAAGTATAACATTGCAGTATGATTTTACAATTTTTTTCTTCAGGAAAGTATTAACATCAAATAGAATTGATTTACACTGCACTCATTCTTTGTTTAAATATAGTGGTGGCATGAGTACTTTTGTTACATGTTTGTTTTACACTTTCAGATACTAACAATTCACAGGTGCACTCAACTTAAATTGTAAAGCCATATTGGAGTATGTAATGTGAGAAAATTGTCTAATAAGAATAAATTTAAAAAGTTCAGTTATCAAAAGCATGATTTGTCTTTTTATTTATGATATGTGATTTTTTTTTATTAATTACAAGAATTGTAGTTATGTTTGATAGTTATTGTTTTGAATATGTAATTGTTACAGATTTTGATTATGAACATGTTTTGTTTTTAGGTTCAGGCCCAAATGGTGTTAAAGATTTTCAAGAACATCCATTTTTCCAAACTATAGACTGGCAAAAGTTGTACACTAAAGATGTAACTCCACCATTTATTCCAGCTGTGGGGAGATCAGATCACACTTGCTATTTTGATAAAGAGTTCACCATGAGAACACCCGAGGGTAGGAACTTTGTTATCTGACTTATTCCTTTTCTTCTATAAAGATCCATAATAATGATTATTTTATTTATATCCTATTATATACAATAGATGCTACAAGTTATGTTATTATTTTACTTCAAATTAATAATTTTGAATAATGCACCCTATCCTGATGAAAAAATTGCACCATTTTATTAAGAAAGACATCATTCTTCCACACAGTTGTTTTAAATACTTCAGAGATAATAATTTATATGTGTATATTAACTTTGGGCTAATTTCAATGCACTAAACAAAAAACATTAGTGTTTGTGAATTACCTGATTTTTTTTAGTATAATATGGCACTCACAGACACCGAGGAGACAATTTGAAATACTTTTAAAAAGCAGTACCTATTTGAACCTTATAACTTCAATACAAGTGTAGTTTTTTCGGTTTCAACCAATTGCCATTTCTCAACCTAGGTTGTCATGGTGTTATGTAAATTGCCTATACCTCAGATTTGAGAAAACATAGATTAGTGATATAAACATGTAATAAAAACATTTTTTTTTGTTCTTATCAACTGTGTAAGTCAGTTTGGGTTTTATTTCAGCATAGAATCATGTAAAGATCAGAACAAGGTGATAAAAGAGTAGCATGATAATATGCTGCTAGAAGAAAAGATGTCTGTAAACAATTTCCACCAATTATAGTCCTCTAAAGAACTTGCTTTGTAATTTAATACATCATTTCAATTATGATACTACAGTAAAAAATAAGATCTAGAGAATTGTTAGGCTTAATTAAATGATCATTTTGCACTCAACCATATCAAATTTGGTTTTGATGCCAAGGCCACTGTTTGTTAGACTATGTTCACATTATGGTTTATTTGCCTAAATAATTGTTTGAATGGGCAAAGAAAATCACCAAATTGATGTGTAATATATATATGTATGTGTGTGTGTGTGTGCACATGAATGTAAATCAATTTTAAAACAAATTACACATATTAAATGGAACTTTCTGAGTAACACTTAAAGAATAAAAGTATGCTTGCTTTTAATATTTTTGGAGTCAAAAGAAAGACAGGATTTAGTTTGATAAAATAAAAATAAACCATTTATTAGGAAGTTTCAAGAATGTAGAAATATAAATCTGTAATTGAAATTGGGAAATCTACAGCAAAGAATCATTTTTAATTGGTTTTCTTAGAAGTATTTCATAAATCTTTTTTTGATTTTCCAAAGCTGAGAATTCATAAAAATACCATGTATAGAAAAAAAAAAAAGAAAAAAAAAGGTTTTTTACAGAAATTACATTGTTTGTAGAAAATTTATCACAGTTTTCAAACAATTGCATACGGTAATTTTTTTTTTAAATGCAATAAAATAAACCATATGACAGGTGCATGAATTTGATGCACCCAGCTGTTTTAAAGAGTTAACAATGGAAATAAGTCTCTTAAACATGTTGAAAATTTAATGAACCTAAAGCAGAAGCTTTCAAAGTTTTGAAGTTATGGGTAGATTATTCTCTCTTAATACTTAACAATAATTCTTTCTTACAGACTGTTTTTATTAATTATTATGTTAGAAATTGTTCTACTATAAATGCCATCTTCTCAGATCATAAATAATTTTTTTAAATGTTCAATTGTAAATCTTGGATAATGATGATTTTGCACTATTTCAAACACGTAGACTCACCTGGTATTCCACCTAGTGCCAATGCTCATGAATTGTTCCGAGGATTCAGTTTTGTAGCTCCAAGTTTAGTTGAAGAAGGCTATCAACAGTTAGCTGAGACTGAAGCACTTAGTAAAGTAAGTATAACTAAAAAGTACCTGAGACTGAAGCACAAAGTGGAGTAAGTATAATTAAACAGTTGAGGTTGAAGCTTTTAAAAAGTATCATTCATCAGCAAGGTATAATGCATTTAAAAGTTATTAAAGTTTCCATGTTTGCTGAAAATAAGTTTTTATTTGGTATAATGATTAAAAGTTGTTTTTGTAGAACATACAATTTTGTGTTTGAATACTGTAGCAATGTTTCATCTTTCAAACAATATTTCTGTATTTTCTTCAGCTAGCAATGTGCTCATCCAGTTACAAAGGTTCTATCACCAATGAGTATGAACTCAAGGAAGAGATTGGGAGAGGATCTTATGCTGTCACGAGACGTTGTGTTCACAGGGAATCTGGGAAGAATTTTGCTGTAAAAGTAAGATTCAGTGACTTCTGATTTTGTCTTTTTTTGTTGCCGATGTATTAATTATGTGTAGGTATTATGTAAAACTACACATATTTAACTACTGTCCCCCAATGATTGCATGGAGCTTTTCAACAGGCATTTTCTAAATAACTTTCTGAGTTTTTATTTATGTTTTGTACAACCTAATCAGGTTGAGTGTGAGCATATATACCTCAACACTGTAATTTTTTGTTTTCTCATTCTCTCTCCATTGATTCATAATCAGTGTACTTATCTAACTATTGTCTTACCATTTGGTGCTATTTTTGTTTTTTAATTTTTATACCTATGATTTATTGAATAATGATTATTAATTTTTCAGGTTATTGTCAAATCGAAACGTGACTGTCAAGAAGAAGTAGAAATTCTTCTCCGCTATAGTCAACATCCTAACATAGTTACTCTTTACGATGTAAGTTTCCTGTTTGTTAGGTTTTAAGTAGAAGGTACTTAATTGTTATGCCAGCATGTGATTAAGTTCTCTCTTACATAGTTCTTTTATAAAAACAAGTTTGTAGCTAACTTTTACTGTTCTTCTTAGTGGTTAAATGTATATAATATTACTGTTTTGAGTGGCTGTTAACCAAATTTGCATGAGGTCAGCTAGTATTGAAGAAGGAATGTTGACTGTAATTCTGAATTTACTTAAGTGTATTGGCACAAAATGTGGTATGCTTTGAGTGAAGTGGATAAGTCTGTTGCATGCAAGCAGTCAGAGGTGTTTCTAAAGTATTTGTACTCAAGATATGTTAGTGAATTGACAGTATCAATCTGACTCGGACTCTGATAAGTTGGGGTGCAAGGTAATGTTCATGTGAAGATTAGAAATATTGTAGTCCACTGTAAAGTTTCCACAATACATTTTCATGATCTCTAGACTTTCAAAATACATATCTACAATTTATTTCAGTATCCCTATATATTGTATCAAGTACTTATTCTCCTGTTATACAAACTGTTGCTAAATCACCAATGTAGGGTAAAATGAAGAGTTGATAACTTTGACATCAAGTGTATAATACCATGTTTAATGGCACTCTGTAAAAGATTGTGGAATGCACACTTTTACCACTACCAATGCACATATTGTTAGTTTAGCTTATTGCTCTCTTTATTGACTGAACTTATAGCTGATTTTCTGAATGGCTGAAATTCATAATATAGTTTTTTTTTATACAGTTGAACCCTGAGTTACGCAAAGGCTACATTCCTGAAAAATACCATATCAGTTGAAACCATGTAACTTGAGGCATCAAGTCTATGGAAAATAGGGGGATATGGACCTGGGACCAAGATTCGATAACCTTAATTCATAATAAAATGATATTTAAACACAAGTTAATGGAATTAATAGCCTCTATAAAAACCTTTCCTGACAAATTACAACTTGATGAAATTACAAATTAATAAATCTCTTTATACCTACAAATTATTCATCTAATAGAGGATCATCTGACTCCTCCTCCTGAGAGGTGCTGGCAGTCTCTGAAGAGGCAGGCTGAGGTTTGAAAGAGGGGGTGATTCCCTGCTGCTTTGCATTCCTGTTCGGTTTCTTCTGGAGCTGCTTGTAGTATGAAAGGAGTTAATCTAAGCCTATCTTAAAGTTGAAACTCCTTTCTATGATGTGGTCAAGTTCCATGATCTCTTCACTCTTGAACTTCACACAGGAACTCTTGAATGGCTTTAGCAGTGATGAATGGGTTAGCAGTCTCTTTTTCTTCCTATTCTTCACTGTCACAGTTGGATGCAACAAGCTGCTCAAGTTTCTTGTTTGTTGGTTCCTGTTGGTGCGAATCGAACAACTCAACCACATCTGCACCCTTGATGTCTTCACATTCCTCTCCTCCCAGCCATTTGGCCAACCTCATAATGTCATTGGCTTCATCGTTAATGGTGGGTAAGCTTCTGAACTCATTGACAATCTCAGGCCAGAGTTTGTGCCAACAGGCATTCAAAGTTGAAAGTTTGACCTCCTCCCAAGTCTCCTGGATTTTGTTGATGAAGTCCAAAATGCTTATAACTTCCAAAACTGCATCAGATTTTCCACTATCCTTGTATCCAGTAATTGTCTGTAGAGCCTTCTGGTGTAATAAGACTTGAAAGTATTAAGTTGTAAAATTGACGTTGTGTTGAAAGGCAGAAACATAACAGAAACATTGGCATCAACAAAGAACAATGACTCTGATGTATGACTTGGCACATTGTCCAACACTGTCTACATTACCTGATGAAGAGCACCTGCTCATAACATTGCATTAATAAACTAAAAAAGTTTTCATGTAGACGTGTAAATTTATTCTTTATTTTCATTTATCCAAGTTTTTCTGATCACGTATTACAGAATAACACTGATCCACGACTCCAAATCTACAACCACGTAAACGTGAAGCAGGGTATCGCGTGAGTTGAAGCATTGGTCACATTATATAAAGCACAAACCCTTGTAACTCAGGGTTCAACATTATTTGTAAAACGTCTTTATACTTTTAATTTTGGCAAAACTTCTTGCTTTTCTTTTGAATTGTTAAGCCTCATATTTCCCTTATGATTGACTGAATGATTATTGTCTTTGTAATTGGTTACAATTATGATTGGTGTAATGATATGTTAATTTGTTCTTGTTAATTAACACACAACTTGTGTATAACTGTTCTCTTACTAATTTTAAAATAACTGAAACATTTTAATGCCACCTTAAAAATGTATGTGGAAATTAGTGATTAGCAATTATGATGAAGTTGGAAGTCTTAAGTAAGGTAATAATCCATGTTTTTAGGTTTATGAAGATGAGACATCTGTGTATTTGGTAATGGAACTACTAAAAGGTGGGGAGTTGTTGGACAAAATCCTCAGCCATAAAGCCTTTAGTGAGCGAGAAGCCAGCTGTGTGTTAGAGGTCATAGCAAAAACGGTGAAATATCTTCATGATAATGGAGTGAGTAATTGGTTAAACTTTTGATATAAAGGAAACAAAATGTACATGTTTATTGTGCTTGAATAATTATCAAGGGGCTATTATTCATATTCTAATAATTATTATTATTTTTTTACTTTTATTTATATTATCAAGTGAAACTGTTGAAAATCAGCCATCGTTGGGAATGAGATAGTGGTCATTTAATGAAATGACCAGTTTTCACAACTTGTATCACCTACTCACCTTGCTCTTCCATAAATCAGATGTAGAACTTAAATATTTGTTATAATACTTTAAAAAAAGGTTATTATTTATTTTTAAAATGAAAACAACACAGTCTTACTTAAAATATTAGTAGTATCTTGTTTTTGTACAGTAAGTAAAATAATACAACTTCAAGTATATGTACAATACATTAGTTCAAATGTTAAATTCTTTAAAAAAACATACATTCATAGTTGCTCTCTCCTTTGTCTTTACTCCTCTTCCTAATAACATTCTCAAAATATGATTCCTGAGCCATGGGTGTGATTGTTTTTTTTTTTTCCTTGCCCCACAGTAAAATTCTTCAGTTTCCTGTTTCTTTAGTCATGCTTGTCAGATTGTCTATTCACTGCCAGTTTCATCAAAGTTGTCATTTGGTTTGAGCTGTTAATTATTGTCACACTTACACTATCCAATAAAATCTTCCAATTGATTCAAGTCACCTTCTGTAGAGGCTTAGTGGTAATAATTAATTTCATTCAAGCCAATGGAAATGCCAAGTTCTTTGGTAAGGAGGATATATGATATGTTATCTTTGTCACTGTTTTTATCACTGTTGATGTTTACTTTTATGTCAGTGGGAGAAATTAACCACTTTGAAACACTTCATGATGGTGTGATAATTTGTTTTTCTTCATGATTTGTCTTTCTATCCAATGAATGGTGTTGAAAACAGAAAGTTATCGACCCATTAGGAATAACTTTATTATATATTTGCTGTCATATTTTTCCAATAGCTGAGCATTTTCACATTCATCTGGGTGTTAATGTTTGCATAACAAAGGGACAACTGATTTGTGGAGGATGGTTTTTTATGAAAATAATATATAAGCTATGTAGTTAAAATTAGTGGCTGGTTTGATGAGGTGAGCAAACTAGAAAATTTCTATTTGCTTAAATTTATGAAGAGTTTGGGCTGGACCTAAACTGTTTGATTGATTTAGAGTAACTAGAATTCAGAAGGACTGGTTTTGAGAAATTTTACTTGAAGAATGTTTAATCTCATTTAACGTATAAGTGCTTTTCTCTATTAACTTGTAAGTAGAATGTATTACTCTCAACAGAAAAGAAAGAGTGAAAAAAGAGAAAATACTAGTAAATGTATCGTTTTGATTTTGAATATGTCCCAATAAAATTCCTGAAACAAAAGCAAAAGATTGTTAGGTACATTTTCAATCATTGTTTGTTTAACTGGGCATTATTTTTTAGGTTGTCCATCGAGACCTTAAACCTTCTAATATTATATACCCTGATGTAACGGGCAGTCCTGAATCCCTCCGTATATGTGACTTTGGTTTTGCAAAACAGATCAGAGCTGAGAATGGGTTACTCATGACACCATGTTACACAGCTAACTTTGTAGCACCTGAAGTACTAAAAAAACAAGGTTATGATGAAGCTTGTGATATCTGGAGCATGGGAGTTCTTTTGTACACCATGTTAGCAGGGTAAGCTTATGACTTGTTTGTTGTACACCATGTAAGCAAAATAAATCAGCATTGTGTTTGTTTTTTATACCTAATGTTAGCACAATAGTTCTGCATCATGTTTGTTGGCGGTGAAAATATACACCATGTAACTAGGTGATGCCAGTATCATGTTTATATATTATACAGCATTTTTAATAATGTAACAAAGCATTAGAAAAATGATTTTGCATAGTGTTTGTATGCTTAATATACACGATTAGTAAGTAGGATGAGTGTTTCATGTTTGTTGCACGTGATGCTGATTGGATAAGACAGCATCTCTTTCTGTGTTTCGAACATATTACTTTTAACTGTGTCCTGCCACTGTGAAACAGTAAACATTTTCTTTTTTTGTCTCGCATATTTTGGTGTCCAGACATATACCTTAAGAAATACATAGTATTATAATACAATACGTTATAGCATGCTGTGGCTTAAAATAGTTATGGATGATAACATAAATTGGTTCTCCAATATTATTGTCATATAGTTATCACTATTGTTGTATTCATCACAATAATGTAGAACTTAGGCAAAAAAAAAGTGGAAAGGGAATCGGTAACCTGATCAACTATGCTTTTCCATATTAAAGATTTCCATTTCTGAACTTTTTATTCACAAAAAATTTAGGAGGTGAATGTACCTAAAAATTTATATTTCATTTATTTTGCAATTTTGTAAACAGTCGTGACTCTGGTTACCAAATATTTGAAGAGCTAACATTAACAATAGATCGGAAGCTATGATCAGCTGATTCTGGAAGTTGTGATGATATTTGTGAGAATGCATAGTTGTGTGTATTACTTGTAAAGAAAGTTAAAAATTGACTTATTTACTTGCATTGCAGAAACAAAAGACATTAAGTTAACAAATTCAAAGCAAACACTGGTTATTTATTCATTCATATATATATATATATATATAATTTAAGTGTTACTATACAAAAATCTGCTTAGCTGAGGATGTAACTATACAAATTTATTGTGCAATCAGTACACCAAAGTTCACATTTAAATTTTCACTAAATTGTCTGAAATTAATGTCTTTTTAATAGCTTAATAAACACCTCACTAGAGGCAACCTTTTAAACTTTAATACATCTCCATGTCTGAAGTAAAAGAAAATCCAAACATCACATATTTGGTTAATGGAAAATTCTTCAAAATAACAGTTAACTCTTTCAACCTGGGCCTCAGTCCCTGGTACTGACCTCATAACCATTTTATGTTTGTTATAGTTTTCATGCTATAACTTTTAAATTAGTAAGTGAATGTTA